CTGTGATAGTGTCTTAGTCCTTTGTCTCTCATGACCTTGCCAGTCCTGAGACATACTGGCCAGCTCTGCTAGAGAGTGGCCCCCAGTCTGTGACCCCAGCACTTCTGCTCTTAACCACTCACTAACCACAAGGCAAGGAGCCCTGGTGGTAACATTTAAGCACTTGGCTGCTAAATGAGAGGTTGGTGGTTCAAACCCACCCAGTGGCTCCATGAGAAAAGCCCTAATGGTCTGATCTTATAAAGATGACAGCCTAGAAAACCCAATGGGGCAGTTCTGCTCCATCCCACGGGGTCTCTGCGAGTTGAAATTGAAGCAGTGTTACCTGACAAGAAGCCACAAGGCTGGGGTCAGCTGGGCCCAGGCTGGGGATTCTGGGATATCCATGAAAGCAGTCCTGCTGGGCTGTCAAGACCCCAACACAGAGATCGGCAGGTTTGGCTGGCTGTGCAGAGCCAAAAGGAGTTCTGGTGGCTTAGTGCCTAAGGCATTTGACTGCTAACCAGAAGGCTGGCAGTTCAAATCCACCAGCCTCTCCTCGGAAGGAAAATCAGGCAATCTACTTCCATAGTGATACCACCTTGGAGACCCAAAGAGAGGTTGCTGTGACAGTGAGTTTGGTGGTGTGTTTTTTTTTTTTTTTTGGAAGAGCCAAAACAATTTGGATTTCTTTTCTTGTTTCTTTTGTAAAACTTTTTATTGTGATTTGAGTGAAATTTTACAAAGCAGAATCATCTCACATTCAACAGTTCATACCCATCTTGTTTCATGCCAAAGATTACAATCCCCGCCATGCAACAACCCTCCTCCCACTCTCCCCCGTGGTCATCGCTCCCTGTGTCCTTCTTGCCGACATTCCAGCCACCCTAGCTATCTTCTCCCTGTGCAAGCACTGCCCTTCCAATCTCCCACCACTGATTGTTCTAAGGAGTGCATCTCCCTGGTGTAGTTGTTCACTTCATAGGCCTGTCTCTTGTTGACTGAAAGTTAGCCATGGGATTGAGTCCAATGCCAGACCTGAAGGGTGACTAGAGGCCATAGTTTCAGGGGTTTCACCAGTCTCTATCAGACCAGTAAGTCTGGTCTTTTTATGTCTTTTATTTTTAAAACTTTTGTTCCACATTTGTCTCCCACTCTAACCAGGATCTCCAATTTTGATGCCTTTCCAAGTGGCTGGCAGTTAGCCGGGCACCATCTAGATCTTCTGCTCTCAGGGTTGTATAGGCTGAGGTTCTCATGATCTATTAGTCTTTTGGACTAATTGTTTCCATGCATCTTTGATTTTCTTCACTCTTGCTCTGAACGAGAAGAGACCAATAGTTGCCTCTTAGAGGCTGCTCGCAACATTTAAGACCCCAGTCACTACTTAGACCAAAGTAGGATGCAGAACAAGGTTTGTGTGAACTGTGTTGTGCCAGCTGGGCTTGATGTCCCCCACGACCATGGTCTGGGGCCCTCACGCCCCGTGATTCACTCCCTCAGGGTACTTAGTTGTGGCTCAGAAGTTAGGCTAACTCAAAACAACCTGGATTTCAGTCCCTGTACCACACATCCATTCTCTGACTGTGGACAAGTCCCTTGACTCTCTGCATCTTAGTTTCCTCATCTGTGAAAGGATCGGAATGTACCTATGTCACAGGCTCTGATGAGATCAGTGCCTGGCATGTCGTACATGCTCAGGAGGTGGGACCCACCGAGATGGACAGTGAGATGGACAAAGGTGAGATGGACAGTCTCAGCAGGCAGAAGAGGGACAGGGGCTCACTGCCACCACCTCACCTTCTACTCCCACCACAGAGCAGGTCGGGAGTGTCATCTGGAAGGACCAGGTTTGCCCAGGCTCCAGCAGGAAAGTAGCCAGGCTGGCAGGGTGTGGTAGTTTGGGGCTAGAGGAGGTCTCTCTGGGATGTTGCCACTACAGGTGAAGGGCTGGTGGTCTGCATGTATGATGTTGCTGATTACAGGCTAGTGTGTCATTGTGAAGGTTCCCTGGTGGCACAGTGGTTGAGCGCTCAACTGCTAACCTAAAGGTCAGCTGTTGGAACCCACCAGCCACTGTGTGGGAAAAAGATGTGCCGGTCTGATTCCGTAAAGATTACAACCTTGGAAACCCTTTGGGACTGTTCTACTCTGTCCTATAGGGTCACTATGAATGGACTCCCTGGCAGGGTTTTGGTTTGTCATCATCATGGAGTTGGAGTGTTGCCCTCTGGTGGTAGGGAGGGGGCCCTGCTTCAGTATGGGCGCTAATACTCGCTTCTCGCCTCTCTCCCCAGATCTACCTGTCTTGGAAGAGTGGGCCCGGGGAAGTGAAACACTGGAAGGACATGATTGCGCGTCCGCGGCAGCCTGTGGCCCAGTGGCACCAGCTGAAGGCCTGAGAGGGCCTGGAGAGGCCTGGGGGGCCGAGGGCCCGAGTCTCCATCATGCCCTCACCACTTTATGCACAACGTCCAGCCTGGCCCCCCTGCCGTGGGTGAGGGGAGGACCCTGAGGCTTGGCCAGGGAGGGGTCCCAGGCCAGGGAGGGGTCCCAGGACTCGGCCCCATTTCTAGGAAGTACCAGCCCCACCCCCACCGGTCCAACTCGGGGGAGGGGCTCTGGGAGCCATTTTCCTGCTTTGCCCCTTCCCTTCCTGACTTGCTGATACTAAAGAAGTGGGGGAGTGCGAGAGCCAGACTGGCCCATGGCAGATCCCTCCAGAGGCCCGCCAGGTGGGCAACGTCCACCGTTTTCTTTGAGGTAGTGCCTGGAGTGGAGAGAGGCCTCCCCCTCCGGCCCGGTGTGGGCCCAGGAGAAGGGAGGCCGAGGCGTTTGGCCCCTGCCAGGAGAGGCCTGTCCCTAGGGCAATTTCAGGTGCCGACTGGGCCCTGAATGCCGAGGAGAGTATAAACAGCCCGCTCCACGTCCTGGAGCTGGGGCCCTGTGTACTTGTGTTATGTTCACCCATGTGTGTGCGTGTGCGTGTGCGTGTGCGTGCAGGGGGCCTCTTGCTCCCAGTGCCCCCAAGCGGGCAGTGCAGGAAGACTCAGCGGAGGGGGCGTGGTTCCAAGAAGGCGAGGCAGGGCTGGAGCTGGGGGAAGGCTGGGCTGCAAAGCCACTGTGGGAGGAGGGGTGAGTGGAGCAGGGCGAGGGGAGAGTGGGGTGGACAAGAGGGCCAAGCGCCGGAGCTGGGCTGACAACCGGGCCGCCTCCCCCCTCTCCCCTCACCCAGCCCCTTCCCTCCTCTTCAGTGCCGCCTCTACTGAGGAGTCCGGTAGCTCCTTCTCAGCCGTTTCATCTCTTGAGCATCCGTTTACACCTTTTAGGCACCAAGTGTGTGCATAGCATTCCGCCAGGACTCACCTGTTCTCTTCCTTCTCAGGGGAACCCCCATCCAAAGCCCCCCGCCTCCCGCCTTCCCAGATCTTATCTCCCAGCAGAGTTGGCAGTATGCCTGCCAGCTTCCTGCCTCTTCCTTCTTGTCTGTATGGACCCGCCCTCCCCACCCCCCGCTGGGAAGCCTTTCCTGTCACTCCCCTTCGTGGTCTTCTACCATCCGAGACCTCCAGGAGTCGTCTCATCCTCCCCCACGCTCCCCTGGTCCCACAGAACGGCTCCTTCTGGCCCTCCCACTCCTAGTGCAGGGCGCAGAAGCTGTGTGTTCTCCGCCTCAGCTGCTGCCGAGGCTAGAACTGGCTTCCCCTTGGAGACAGCAGATTTCAGCATGATCCTGCTTAAGACCGGCTGATCCCCACACCTGTCATGTATTGATACAAGACCTAGCTGGTGACAGTCTCAAACCCGAGGCGTAGGGGGCGTTGTCCGCGAGCCTGGGCTGCCATTCCAAGCACACACCGCCAGGTGGCGCCCGGACACCACCGTCTGAGGTCGCCGTCCCGCACCTGACACCCCAGGAGAGAAGGGAACCCTTTGTCCCCAGTCCGCCAAAAACATAAGCATTTGAGGACCATTTTCCTTCAGTAAGCTGTCTCTTGAGCTGACCATTCTGCTCTGTGCAGTAGACGGGTCGCTTTTTGCACATATCAAACTCTTCTTAAATTGGATCTCCCTCCGACCCGCCCATCCCCGCCCTTCCCCCTCCTCCCTGGGATCTGGAGGAATAGCATACGCAGGTGAATCGGTTTGTAGAGTGGCGAATGCTGATGTAAAGCAAACTGTCACCCACATTCCTTGTATATCCAGACTTTTCTCTATTGTAGCTTTGCCTAAAATGGGGTCCGCCCCAACTGCTCCCTCCTTAGCGGGAGGGCAGGGGGCCAGCTCCTAGCGGGGAGGAGAGGGCAGCCACGCCAGAGGCTGTTTGAGGAGACGAGAGGGTGCTGTCATTCTTTCCTCTTCCCTCGGATCCGCCTCGATTTCCTACACCCCTCCACCCCGCGAGGGACCGGCGAGCGAGCGAGCCCACCCAGGGCCGCAACGCCTGCCTAGAGCTAGAGAGCCCGGGAGCCTTCGGGGACCAAGCCTATTCCTACTGAGTGGGCGGGGCAACTGCGTCCTCTTTTCCGAGCCCCGCCCTCGGAGCGCTCAGCCAATCACACGCAGAGAGGGTCTCCGGGCGGGGTCTGCTCTATATCAGACTCCGCCCAGGTGCATTGGTGGGCGGGCCTGGGGAAGAGGCGCTGAGTGTGGGCCGAGGGCCGGTGAGCTGGCACGAGAGGAGGTGGGTGGTGTGGGATGGCGGTGGGGGGAGGTCTAGAGCCATAGAAGAGCAGGAAATGGGAGAACTTGAGGGAGGGGTGGGCACTGGAGCCCTGCCACCATCCCAGGACCTTGGGCAAGTCACCCACACCCCCTGGGCCTCAGTTTCCCAATCTGTAAAATGATGGAAATAATACTTCACCTACCTCATAGGGGAGGTTGTGAGGCCGCCATCACCTGACCTGGGGGTCAAGGCAGGAGGACTCGGAAGGTGCTTACCCGCTAGCAAAGTATTATGACCGCAGCCTGACAACAAGGCCCACCTGCCCCTGCCCCACAGAGCCTCCAGGAATAATGAGGCCTGCAGGGGCCCTTCCAGTCTCTCTCCACTGTGCCCCAGATCCCTTCATCACCGTCTTCTGTCGTCTTTGTGGCCACCCTAGATGTAGTTGTTATCTTGTTCGAGAATCTTGTGACCATCTTCCCACATGACCACTGTACAAATTCCACCCGCCCCAGGACCCCGCACCTGCCCACCGGCACCAGATGCCAGGAAGGGACAGGAAAACAGCCACAACACACACAAAAAAAAATAGCCAAGGGGTGGGGATTGGTGGCGCTGTTTCTACTATGTTCCAGTCCTTGAGTGAAAGTGTTTTATAAAAAAAAAAAAAAATCAACAAAAACCCATTGTCACAAACACAAAATTTTACAGTGAAGAGAAATGAAGAAATGCTGAAGGAAAAAAAAAAAGAACCATACACAAAAATTTTCCACTACACGCACCCTCTAAGCCAGCAAGATTTCCTCTTTGCAAAATCCTATTTTTGTGGGAACGGGCCTGCTTTTTGTGGCAAGGCCTGTTCTGATTAATAAAGGATCGTGAAAAAGTAGGGCCTTGGCTGTTTCCTCCGTGGGTCCCAGTCCTCCCTCGCCTCCCCAGGGGAAGAGGCAATGGGGTGGGGGGGTGGAGGCCTGGGCCCAAGTCTCTCTTCTTGTCCCTTTGGGATTTGGCTTCATTGGTGACAAGGCCCTTCCTGAACTTGCAGTCCATCCTCACATCTACAATATAAACCTGCCCAGAAAGCATGGGAGCGGTTGCATGTCAGACCCGAGGCAAGGCCCAACAGGTCCCTCCAGCTTACCCCTGGTGGCATAGCAGCCCCCCTTCAGTTCCCAGGGGACTCTCACCACCCTCTGAGGCAGGTCAGACAAACCAGGTAACCTTCCATCTTCCCCGCCACTGTCCGCTGGACGCTGGCTGGGATCACTATGGTCTCCTTCTAGCTGGTCCCCGTGGAGAAAGGAAAGACTCAGAACCCCAGATGTGTTGGCCAGACCTGTGACTTCAGGTCACCCTTTTCTAGTTTAAGCCCTTGTTGATGTTCGGTGCCATCATGTCAATTTGGACTCCTAGCCCCTCCTATGACAGAGTAGAACTGCCCTCGGGTTTTCCAGGCCATAGTCACTATAGAAGCAGCTTGCCAGGTCTTTCTGCTGCAGAGCAGGGTGAACCTCCAACCCTTCGACTAGCAGCTGCGGGTTTAACCACCGCATCACCAGGCCTCCTTGTTTAATTTAGGATTAGAAAAAGCTCTCCAACTCAAAGATCCCGTAGCATGTTCCAACCTGAGGGCCTGGGAAGCTGGGGCCCAGTCCTTTCTCTCTCAAGACTCTGTGGCCCTGAACAAGCTACTTTCTTCGTCCAGGTCTCAGTTCCTCACTCCACAGAAGAGCAATCACCATCCTGCCCACCCCCTACCCTCTCCCACACAGTCGAGGCCGAGCAGGTCTCTGGGTACTTCAGAAGGCAGGGGCACCATCTGTTTCTGACACAGGCACCAAAGGACTGAGCCTCTGCCCCCTTGTATGTCCACACATTGGTCCCCTCACTCTGGAGCGAAGGTCGCTGGCATGCCTCCTGCTCCCCAGCACTTGAGGCCGGCGGCTGTACCCTCTTCCCTTGAAGCCACCTGGCTTCCCTTTCTGGCCCAACAATTTCTTACCGCTGTGCGAATGCCCTGTTAGGGGGCAGGGGTTTCTTCCAGCTGGAGGCTGGAGGGAGCCCCAGGGTCAGGTAAGTAGCCTCAGGAGTGACCCGTCCTGAGCTTTCCTGTGAAAACAGCTCCAGTTCCGAGACACTGGTGTAAAAGCAGGGACAGGGCGGCCCCCGCAGGCAAGGTGCAGCCGCATCCTCGTGGGCTCAGGCCTCTTCCCTGGCTGTTTGCCTTTTTCCCTGCCTCGGCTTCTTTGTGTCTCTCCTCATCCACTCCTCTGAGGTCCCTTGCCATCCCTCATGTGCCCAAGACTGCTGCCCACTGGTGTTTCTTTCTCTGGCAAGTTCCTTCTGGACACCACTGCACTCTGGAAGCCATCCTGGGCCAGGTCCTGCCCTCCTCCCCCTCCCCGACAAAGACAACCAGAAGGACAACGCCTGAACATGTATGCCCCAGCCCATGGCTCCCCTAGCCATCCAATTCTCTTGACCATGCCCCATCCCTGTGTCGTGTCTGCGTGTCTATGTTGTGTCTCATTTAGATTGTAAGCCCCCCTTGGGCAGGGATCCCTGTCTGAATATGTGTTTCGTGTGGGGCACGCCTAGGTGTGCTAATAAACTAAACATTCATCCTCAGAACAAGAGTGCCCTGGTGTCTCGGGGATGCTGTGGGACAGATGGCTGGAGAAGCTACGTGGTGGAATTGGAGGCAGGGAGGTGCTTCTGGGTAGGGTGGACAGCTCCAAGCACCCTGTTCTGCTTCCCTGAGCCCCTGAGAGTGGGTGGACCCTCCCTCCTGGCCCTCTGCAGTCCTGTCTGGAGGCCCCGGGAGGGAAGCGAGGTTACACACAACGCTTGCCCGTTCCACACACAGGCCTGAAGGCCACCCCAGACAGAGTGGCTGTTCCATGCAGTAGATGGCACTAGGTAGGAGTCCTCAGATCCATGTATGTGGTCAAGTTGCACAGACACCATACATATGCACACACATGTCACACTGCACACACACACACATACAACCTCCCCTCCCAGATCTGTTTCTGGTCCTGCTCATTACAGGACCCCTTTCTCGTTACATTTCCTACAATATTCCTTCCCGCCAATCCTTTGGCCTCCGCCCCTGCATCCCCGATGCAGACACAGCTCCTCTGGGGCTTCTTTGCCTGGCTCCCCCAGGGCCCGCCCACCTCTGATGGCCCCAAGTCAACATGGGGACCCATAGACATGCCCGTTGTTCCAAGCAACCCCTCCAAGAGTGGTCTCCCTTCTCCCTGCCATTAAAAGGCCAAAGGAAGGCACCGGAAGTTAGATGGAGTGAGAGGAAGTGCTAGGACTATAATACCCCAAAAAACCCACTGCCATTAAATCAAAACTGCTTCATGGAGTTATCAGGGCTATAAATCTTTATGGAAATAGATTGCCTCATCATTCTCGAATGAAGCAGCTGGTGGGTTTAAACTGCTCACCTTTTGGTTACCAGGCACATGCTTTAAACACTGCACCAGAAACTGACAATAATTTTCTAAAGCCAGGTAATAGTACTTTCTTTACCCAAACCTTCTAAGAGCCAGGAGGAACTGGCCTCTGGTGGTGGTAGCAAAGCCAGGCCCTGCCAGCCTTCCCTCCTCTTTCCCTGGAGAGAAACCCAGCTACAGGCTCTGCTGATGGTCAACCATGGATAAGGGCACCATCCTTGCCATACAGGAAGGCAGGGTCCTGTGTACCTCTGCATGCCCAGTGGGGACAATGGCCTCCACCTCAAGTGCCCAGGCCAGGGTGGCTGGGGAAGGAACAGGAGCTCTGGGTTCTCCAGCCCCAGCGAGTCCTCTAGGGGCAACGTGCTGTCCTCCCCAGCATCTAAGGTGAAATGAATGTAGACATGAAACGGAAGTAGTCAAACACCATGCTGCACGGAACACTGAGCTGCAGCGTCAGACTTCATCTCAGCTCTTCTGTCTCCAGGTGGACAAACTGAGGCCCATGGGCCATGAGTGCTCAAGGTCACTAGGTCAGTAGCAGCCCCAGGACTAGAACCTACGTCTTCTGATTCCAGGGCTTGGGGTATTTCCCCTATGCCTTGATACAAGCTATGGTCAAGAAGACAGTCCCTGGGCAGTTGCAGCCCCTGCCCCGTCTGAGTGATCTGAGATCTTGAGTGTTCTCCTTCAAGTCCCTAGGTTCAGGAGGGTCCACTGGCCCTGGTGGAGGCCTGGCAAAGGGTGCAAGGACAGCTACAGGGCCCTATGAGGACAAGGCCTGCAGACAAGCCCCACACCTTTCTCCCTCCTTGGGAAGCAGGCAGCCTCCACCTTGCCCACCCCACCC